AACTTCAGTGGTGTGTCCTTTCAATATGACTCCACCAACTAATGATCTGCTTCCTTTCTGTTCCCCTCTGGGTTTACTTTCTTTGCCATCATTGTTCTTTTGTCTTGTGCTGTTTTGGTGTGCTTTTTTCTATTGTGCTTTATTTTAAATGTTTTAACAATTGTAATCTGCCCAGAGTTGCTGGGAGTCAGGAGGCATATAAATTTAATTTATTATTATTATTATATACACATCAGCATGAAATCACAGCTGCCAGGTCTTTAGCTGGTGTTGGCCTTCATTCTTATCAAGTTCTTCCCAAGAACCTAGGACGTCTTAATGTATCTCTGTAGCATATGTGCAGCTCCAGTACTGAAATAGATAAATTGTTCTTCAGACTCCTACAATGCAATATAAAAATACCCTTCTTCTATGGGCTTTCAAATTGGGGCACTTCTGTCAAAGAGTAGACTTAGATGTGGCAGGAAACACCCATTGGTATGATCTCCTGGTTTTTGTTTTCAAGTGAAAGCAGGCTTGAAAATTGAATTGTTCTCCACTGGGCTGATTTCCAGATCTAATCTTCAATCTAAAGTTGTCATTTTCCTTGTGCAGGAAAACACACAGCATGTGTATAACCATTCAGACAGCCACCTTTCTGATTCCACCATAAAATGCGCTTGGAATTAAACCAGGTTGTTTTAACTGCTTCCAGTTTTGTTCCCTGCCTTTTCTCCTGGAAATTCTTCCTGCACCTACAATAGGCCAAACTCAGTGAGTATGGGTAGAACTGACCAGCATTAATGAACAAAGAGACTAACTGGAATTCTTTTCTTTTTTTTCCCTGAAAGGGTTAGAAAGAAAAAAAGAGGAAATGTGTCTTAAAAGAGAAGTTCGCCATCCACTGATACTACAGAGTTATGTTCAAATTTCACGCAATTACAACTCTGTTTGATCATTATGGGGCTCATCTTGTGATAAGACTGGAACTGTATCTACTTCAGGAAACTCTCTCTTTTGCCAATGAGAAAAATCTTTATGGAAATATAGCTCTTGTTTGCATTGTATGAAGAAAGAAATTAATAGATGTGATTGCTTAAAAAGGATTTCCCCATTCACTTTTTGGGGGCAATTTGCTATGTTTATTATGTTTAACTTGTATTTTTACATACATCAAACACAATAAGAAAAGTGCAAAAGTAACCACTACTTTCAGGCATGTACAAATTATTTCTGAGAGCATGTTATGACTACACTCAAAATGCCTGCTATGGGGGGGGAAAAAGGACGCCATTGTTCATAATACAGCCAAAGGCTTAAGCCTTTTTATTGAGTGAATGTTAATCTGGAATTAGGTTATTTTATAGTGACAAATCAAATTCCACCCTCAGCCCACTGCAGTGCAATTGCATAACTTGTTATGGGCTGACACAACTGGAAGTCGGAGTAGACCGTTATAAATTACAGATGACATAAACTGAAAAAGCAACATAGATTGCATTTTATATGGAAATTAAAGTTCTTTTTTAGATTAACTAATGAATTTAACTTATTCTTTTTGTTCTTCAAACATAGTACCCAGAACAGAGGGAAAATTGTTTTTGTCATGCTGAAAAAGCAAAGCCCTTCTTTCATGTTCATCTTAAACATTCAAACTGAAAAGTGTGTTGCCTCTCCAGGTCAGAAAGTAATACAGTAGAAACTCCCCAGGAACCCTTTGCTGTGTGCATAATTGTCTTCCATGCTGCATATTGCTTTATTGCATCAAAGACACAGAGGTCCAGTGCAGCAGTTGAATTGTAATCCAGAAGCCTCAATCACCTCCACTGTAGTATTCTAAAGTAAGCAAATGCAATAATCTCAAGACAAGGATTGAATAGACAGACTCTGTGGTCTTCAAACTAACATAATGAGAACTAACCAAGATAAATTTCATTAGTCAATCCTTCCAGATGTAGAGATGTTGTACACTGTTTATAGATTACTTTTCGCCACTATCAATGTTTAAATAATTAGACATTTTGTACCCACTGGCTAAACAGGCACTATCAGTTCTGCTCGAGGTGCAGAAATTTTCACAGTGAGCACTGTCACTGTTCTGCTGAGCCAACATCCATCATGCAATCTGATTAAATCTACAATCAGACTTTATAATAGAAACAGAACATTTATATTATCAGGGAACTCATGTCTTGGACTTTGAAAATAAGTGGCTCAGCATGGTTGAACTGTTGTGTAGCAGCAGGAAACTGTTATCAGTAGTGGACAAACTTTAGGAGATTATCCATTTTCAAATAGTAATCACCTTGAGCACAGCTTCCCTCTGAAAATTATCAACTTGGGGCTCTCAGTCAGATGAATATACTTGGTGCTGTTGATACAGAATCTTTGATATAAAATGGCATACAGAGAAACCAGAAGATTTCTGAAGAGAAGCAGAAACATAGCTCAGCTTCAGCTGATACCGCTTTAGCAAGAGAGTTCAGTGAAAATCAGCCTCTAAAGTACCTGCTTGATGGAACGTAGAGATCTGAGGGAGATGACCCTCAAACACAATTAAGTTAGTCCCATAATTAAACAGTAAACACTCAGATTTGTTCTTTTTCTTACAAGACTCTGTTTCTGTGATAGCTAATTGTTCCAGGATCAGAAAATGATTACACTGGATGCTGCACACGCAGAATTTGTTTTCCTCTAAGGATCAGCATAACTGAGAACACTTTGTGGATAGATTCTACCATGAAAGTTGCACTCAGGTTCTCATGAATGCACAATGGAGAATAGAGGTCGGTTCCTAACCATGTGGTTTCTGAGCTTTGAGCCATAGTAAATTCACTTGTACATCCTGAATGTAGCCCTGGATGGGAGTAATTGATATGTTCTTTGCTAGGGTGGAAAACCATCCTTCTATTGAAGGCCACATTTCCTCAAAGATAATCTGCTGGGAACCATGTTGCATGCAAATGGTGAACAGGATTAAAACAAGGGATGGTAGTAGTCAGGGCCCAAAATGTATAGCGCCATCCATTCTTTCTCTTCCTGAAACTCTCTTAACCAATTCATAGAACAGGCTACTGGGGAAAAGGCAAGCTGAGTTTGCTAGAGATCCAAATTGCTTCCTTGCAAAGGACTTTTGAAAATAGGCTGGCCACATTAAATTAGGCCAAGTGTTACAGATATGCTTCCCTGCTGTAGCCTCTAGTCACTTTTTACATTGAAAGCAGCAGAATTAAGATTGATACCTGCATTCAGTTTGTACATTTGTGCTGCAGTTTTGAAGCAATTTTGACTACAACATTCAGAAATGGTAAGAGGGAACAGAGAGCCTGCCAGAGTCCAATAGTGGACAGTTAAAAATTGAGAACCAACAGCAGCAATATAATGAAGCAATAGTCTTATTCCAGTCCAAGTTCAATGGAGTTCAAATCTGTATCAGTAACCAAGATTCAAAGGCAAGGCATTAGCACTGCCAGTTTTTGGCAAGGACTGGGCTACAAGTATTTTTGTGACTTGAAGCAAAATATAAAGCATGCAAGATGTGGCTGTCACAGCAAATTCTAGCTGAACTGCACTCCACTCCACTGAGTCATTAAACAGAGAAAACTCTCAGTCTCTCAGAGAAGTCTCTCAGCACCCATTGGCCCTTATTTCCAGAGTCATGCTACTCAAGACACCAGCCTATTCCCAAATAAATAATCCTGCGTTCCGTTTTCTCCCTGTCTTCTGGCTCTCTACATAGTTATGGTGGATGGGACCTTGGTTCAGAGTGTGGAAGGTGAGACAGAATTTCACCTTATGTTGAGTATGAGGAATTACCTCTCTTGGCCTGCTCTAGTAAGTGCCACATCTTGGCTTTCTTGGGTGGAGCATTCATAGTCCTGGGGTATGAGAGCAGATAGAGTCAAGACAGTGCTGATTTTTTTTCCCTTTCACTAAGACCAAATGCTCAATCCCACTTGGTGCTCAGGCAGGAGATGCAAAGGTAGGCAAGAAGGCTAGAAAAGAAAGCTGTGGGTTGGGTAGGGCTGTATTTATTGCTATCTGCTTTCTTTTCTGTTGTCACTTGGCTCATTCAGGACTTGGGCTCCTGATGACTCATTTGGGAATTTATTATGGTAAAAGAGGGAAAGATAAAACAGTGCCATTACTAAGTTAATAAAAACAGAGAAGAGCTGGAATTATTGCCCCATGGCAGGGTTTATCCACAAAGACAGAGCCATTCTACTTGCAGACATCATCTAATTTGGTCAAATAATAAAACAAAACATTATTATATTTTCTTTAAAATGAAGGAACCTAGTTCCCCAAATATCTGTAGCTTTTCCTCTAAAATGTGGTTGCATTCATGTGCTCAAAATGTTCTGTGCCTGAAATACCTTCTCATTCTGTTTCTGTGAGTGAAGAAGTTACAGCTGTTTGAGGATTCCTCATGTTAGTCAGAGAGATACTAGACACTGGTTTTCTGAAACATATTTTACCTTCCCACCCTGAATTGAACTTTGTCCAAGTTAGCACAAATGAAATTGACAAAGCAAAACTGAACAGAATTTTATAGCTGATGAATATCTCTAATAAGTGGAAATAGTATTTAAAGTGCAGTGAATTTTGAATACTACAAAATTCTACAGCAGACTGAATGATTAAGCTAGTGCACTGATTTCAAGTCACATGTTTGTGTAAATACTTTATTGTACCTCTCTAGGAGTACAATTTTGGAAGAAAGCTGAAACAAAATTCTTCTTTGGTGCCTTTGGGTCAGTTTTTGACTCCTGGCAACTGCCTGGACTAGTCCCTGCAGTTTTCTTAGCAAGGTTTTTCAGAAGTGGTTTGCCCTTGGCTGCTTCCTTGGACTGAGAGAAAGTGAGTGGCCAAGGTCACCCAGCTGGCTTCATGCCTAAGGCAGGACTAGAACTCATGGTCTCTATCTGATGTCTTAATCACTACACCAACTAGCTCTTAAAATAAAATTATTAACTATAATAACAACTTGACATTTCAAATACCAGTCTTGATAGTCTCTATTATATTATCTTTATATTTTATTCTTCATTTCCCTTGTATCTCATGATACTACATAAGCCAGTAAGCTTCATGTGCATGTAATTGCACACTTTATCTTGAAATAGAATATTGCTTAGTTTTGCTTAAAGTAGAAGAAATAATCACATTAAAATAAAATACCATCCTTTGGTGCACTGTCCAAAGGTCTTTCTCGTTCCTTCTTCTTAGAATACTTTGCACGTTGGTAGAAAACAATGATGATAATAGTTGTGGCATTGAGGGCAATTATAAGAAGCATAATCCAGTATGAATATCCATATGTGTTGGTTTGTTCAAGGTCTGTGAAAAAATTGCATTGTTTGATGGCCAGCTCAGTAGACAGTTTGTTTATTTCCACATTCACTGCAAACAATATTAGGTTTAGAAGACAGCAGATACCTATAAAAAAAAAAAAGGAAATATTGCTGATATTGTTGCATTTCTCTGTTGGGTTTTAGTTCCCTGAATATAAAATATGCTGAGTCAATCGATTGCTTCTAGAATGGGTTGAGATATGTAGCAAGGGCCATCCACATGGAATTGTATTTCTACATTGTAAAACAGCATTCTACAACAGAATGTAGAACAGTCTCAGATGTGTTGGGCTATAATTCTCATCACCCGCCCCCTTGCCCTGGCCATCACACCAATAACTGTAATGGTTTTGAGTAATGACTTTGTAGTTCACATACAAAGGCCCGGGTTGTGGAAGGATTTTGCATAGGTTCTGCTTAGCATTTCTATATTTTATAATACAATTTTTCCCTTGCATAAATTATTTCAGTCCTGTTTTTAAAAAGCAGGAACCTCTTGGGACAATTTCAGCATCAGAAATTGAGTTATTTTAGTAGAAGGATCATAAGGATAGCAAAGTACATCAAAAGAAACCAGATGTAAGTCTAATAGAAGACTGAAGGGTTGTACCCTCAGGGAAATGTTTGAATGAGTTCATTTTACTGTGTAACATTTCACTACTTTTTGATTTATATAGAAGATACTTTTTGTCTGCAAGTGTATTTCTATTTTTTTTCTCTGAGCAACGTTTTTCTCTGTTGCAATTTCACTTTTCAGGCTACTTTCCTAAGGACTAAGGAAACCTCATATTTTAAAAATCCAAAAGTATCAACTTTTGTTTAACATCATAATACTAGCTTTTATATAATAACATGCTTACATGCTTTAATTACCATAGATTAAAAACCATACATAGGTACGTTGTTTGAGACAAACAATTCCAAAAACACAGTATTATTAAAACCAATTAAAATGTCACAAATTAGTATAATAGATCTATCATTGGAAATAGAGGGAATTTTTTCTTGCTGGTTCAAGGAGCCAAAATAGACATGATGTGAAAGATTAATGATCAGATCTCCTGACATTTTTAACTTTTTAAGGAATTTGGGGCTCTGATCTTTATAGGATCATCAGTGTGGGTGAATGGCGTTCCTTCTGTGTCACTTCCATGATCTATATGGGTGATAGTGGGGCTTTTGTTTCATCCATATATATGCAGCAAAATTAACAGTAGCTTTGAGAGAGAATAAGATTTTAGATTAGGAATACAGAGAGCAAGGAAAGACTTAATTCCTTCTTTCCTCTTCCCCCTCACCCTTCTCCTTCTTCTTCCTCCTCCTCCTCTTCTGTTTTTTAACAAAGCTATTCCAGCAGGCTTGCATGTTATTTATTGAGCTATTGTTTGTCCCCTAGTAGGATTTAAAATCCAGAAATAAGAATCCAAAGAACAGAGAAAAATTCATCTCTTTTTTGTGATGGATAAAAGAAACAAGAAAGTAGTGGTACCACACCTCAAGTTTAAGGTACCATAAAAGAGAGGAAGAACAAACCAACTGCAATGGCTGTGGCATATCCACACATTGTTTAAGCTGCTCCTGTCTTGATCCATGCTGGCTTGACTCTAAGCTGGCATAAGAAAATCCTCTCCTGGTTGGAGACAGTTTGGCAACAGCTTGTAAGGTATTCAGTCTGGACTGCAGAACACTATGTACTCTCATTGGACAATGACTCTACTGCTGGGCCCTCCCACTTTCTGCATTACAAAAGCAATGGCCAATTGTTTTCCTTGCTGTGAGTGGGTCTTCCTGGACACAGATACTTTTATATACATAGACACATGCACACGGGTTAAATTAAATTTACATTTATAAGATTAAAGCATCAAAGGTAGAAGGGTTTCTCCCTTGCTCCCAAAAAGTGTATAGGTTTTTGGGGCTATTTGACAACTGAAGATAAAAACCTTCTACCTTGGGTGACTGGAAGATTAGTGAAATAATGGAACTGCTCTATTCTAAAAATAAATAAATATAGCAAGTTGGAAAGGAGGGTGTTTGGAAAGAGAAATGTCAATTTAAAAAAGCCCACCTGCTGGGTTTCAAACCAGCAACTTTTGGATTACAAGGTGAAAGCTTTACTGACTGTGGTATAGTAACCATCTCAATAAAAAAATTAAGTCTAAAAGGTATTACTAGAGGTAATATTAAGCATTAGAGATGGCCCTTTCTCTGCAAAGTAGCCAATGAAGCAAAATGAAAGCGCTCTAACCCAAATGGGCAGAAGCACGCAAAGAGCCGGTATAGGGAGGAAAAGTGTACTTTGTGCCGGTTGTTTTCAGACAGAGCAGGGGATCAATAGAAGGCAACAATGTCTGTTTCTGCCCTTCAGAAAAAGTTGGCAGCCAATTTGGATGAGGGGGAAAGAGGTAAGTCTGGAACTGCCCTGAGAATGTCTGTGCTATCCCAAGGTGTGTGTGCTTTAAATTGCTTTTTCTACTTGTGATTATTAGAATTAGAACTGGTCTATGTAGAACACGAAGGCATACTTTTAATGAATCTCCACTGCTATATTAAGCATAAAGCTCTCAGAAATAGTAGGACAAAAATTCTGTAGAATAGAATATGTTACGAATTCATTTAAAACAAAAGACATTATTTTAAGTGAAACTATACTCTTTCTCTTTCTCTCTCCACACAAAGAACAGTTTTATGTATGGGCTTATCTATCTATCTATCTACAACAGAGAAATGGTTGGATAGCGTAGTGGTTAGAGCATGCCTGCCTACCTTGGTTATGAAAGCGACACGAACTAAGAGAATCATGATGGTTTGGACATTGCCCAGATTAACAAGGTTCATACTAGATGTTGGGGAAAAAGGACAACCTGATAATAAGTGGGCTACTGGAACAGACCATACATGGATGAGACAAGAAAACCTGGAATTGATGGAATGCTACTACAACAGTAGACCTAATGAGAGGGACTATATTAAAGGTATGAGGGAACTATGGATGGGCAGAAGACCTACATCCACACTAACTGAGAAACAGCTAGTTGCCACCCAACACTTC